AGTATTTCAATTCTGAGAAGCCTGAGGGACGTATCATTATGACCCGAGTGCAAAAAATGAACTGGAAAAATGTTTACTACAAATTTTTAGAGATCACTATTAGTGAAGCCAGGTGCCTGGAGCTGCACATGGAAATTGACTGGATACCCATTGCCCACTCCAAGCCAACTGGTGGGAATGTTGTTCAATATTTATTGCCAGGAGGGATTCCTAAAAGCCCAGGCCTTTATGCCATTGGCTATGAAGAATGTATTGAGAGGCCTCTCTCACCTCATGTGGAGCGTCGTGCCCTGGACCCAGGAAAAGAGGGCAGGGTTGACCTGGAAACCCTTTCAGCACAAGCCTCATTACAGGTGGAAATGGAACCCACCCGAATTACCTACTGCTACCTCGGCATTGCTGAGGTCAGGACTCTGCAGCAGTGCTTGTTTTTACATTTCCAAGCAAATACCAAAACCTTCAGTAAAGATTGGGTTGGTATTAATGGGTTTTTGTCTCAGAACTGTATAGTGGATCCCGGAGTTTCCCCCAAATCCATCTATATCAAATTTGTAGAAGTAGAGAGGGATTTTCTTTCAGCTGGCTCATTAGTTGAGTGCCTGGAAAAAGCCATTGGATACCCCTTAAAGTTTAACAACTGAGTGTCATCCTTCATAAGGATTTGGGCTCGTACATCCTTCTCCCTCTCTTTCATTACCCAGAATGTCCCACATCCAGATGCTGCCGTCAAGACTCTTCATGGGAGCTCTTTCCATGAAGAGACCATACAACCTCTGAGATCTCAGTAGACTTTGGGCAGAAAAAACAGATCTCACCTGAAAATGCTCATTTTGAGCAAGGAAGGTGTCTAACAGACTTACATAGTGGGTCAGTTCTTTATTAAAAAAAAAAAAACCATCAATTTTTAAAATGGCTTTTCGAGCCCCAATATAAACAAATGTAGGTACATTCCATATTGGACAAAACTTATACTTTGAGTTTCATATGAAATCGAAAAATTGTATTTTTTTCATAATGTTTCATTTTTACACATCTCTATAAGTATTATTTACAACCTTGAATAAATAAGCAATAGATAATGGCAAGTAAAACTTGAGTCACAATAAATAAGGCTGTTTTTCAATATCACCTTTAGCTACTCTTGTATATAATTTATAGAGTTTCAGTTTTTTCACCAACCAAGTGTTTTGCTATTTCCAATCAGTGTTGCCTGCAAAGACCTTTGTTTCCGTGATGTACCAACTTTTATGGTTGTGTTGACATTTAAACTTTTTCTAAAAAAAAAAAAAAAAAATTAAAGGAATTCCTGATCTTGGTGTGCTGGTTGAACTTTCTGTAGCAGTGTTGCTGCCTTGGCCATGGGAGTATGTCTGACTTTGCTGTTAGGAGTGAGCAGAGGCCTGGAGATACGGCTTAGTAGCAGTGCTTGCCTAGTTGCACAGGGGCCTGGATTCATTCCCCAGTACTGGAAAGAAAAAATGACTAAGAAGAAAGTGAAGGATCGCTCTGCTTTCTCTATCAGTGATGGCCAGAGTCCATCCTTTTCAGAGCAGCAGAGGTCATTACACATCTCATTGTGTTTCAAAGAATGATCCATAGAGGGGGGAATTAGGAGGTGCTGCTCCATTAGGCACAGGACTCATGCTTCTACCTTTCCGATAGTCTAGTGGGCCAGGTACCACTCCACTTTCAGGTTAGTGCTCTTGGCTAAGAATAGACTCCTAGTAGTCAAGGATCACTGTTGGTCTCACGGCAGGAACATAGTAGGTTGTTTATCTTTAATGGTAGCACAACATCTGTGACATATTCTGCTTTAAATGGGCCATGAATCCAGATTAAGAACGGAAATTCGCTGGTTTTTGATTTTCTATACTCTTGAAATAAAGTTGCATATTTAAAAATATATATTAATTCCCACAACCCAAATGATTTCAAGTCAGTGATTTATTTTCATTCTGCTACCTGTTGGCTGTTGGATGCCTATTTATTTTTCTGTTGACCTAAAGAGTTTTTAATCATTGGGATGATTTAAGTTTTTTGAGTCTGGGTTTAGGGAGTTTGTCCTTTTTTTTTTTTTTTCTGATGTAAGTTGCTAAATATAGGTGCCAATTCAGGGAGAGTATACACATTCAGGGAATGTGTCAGTGTAGCACCTGCTCTAAGTGGTCAGAGGACCTTAGGAGATTCTTGTGATTCTCCTATTTGGAACTTGGAATTATCGCCCTAAGGCTGAGGTGCATTGATGATTGTCCAGCAATCTTAGTGTTAAGTGCTATAGAAAAAGCATTACCAGGAATTCTACATGGTCCCTCAGAACTTTGCCATTGACCCATCCCAGAATTAATATGAGTACTTACTGTATTTTGTCTGCTGCCATTCCTTTCCCTCTGCAGGTAGTTAGATGGACCAGAACTTTTTTGGAGCATTTGGTAGAGATTTTCTAGACCTGCATAGTACTGAGTGAGAGCAGGGCATTGCTAGACCCCGTGACCAACATAGAGAAGTTGGCAAAGCTGAGATCAAGCATGAGTTTCCATTTGGCTTGAATGGATTGAGGTAGAGGAGAAGAGGACAAAGCTGAGCATTGGGAAGTGGACACTTGTTAGAAAGTAACTTGTTGATAGGGATTATCTTGTCTCTGACCTGAGCTATCTAGAAAAGAAGTAGCAGGTTGTCAGGTGACATCATGGCTCAGCAGTTAAGAGCCCTGGCTGGTTCAGTTCCCAGCACCCACATGGCTGCTAACAACCATCTGAAATTTCAGTTCCAGGGGATCCAACACTCTTCTGACCTCCATAGGAATTACACAACACAGGTACACTTACATATATGTGCAGTACACTCAAAAATACAATATTAAAAAAAACTAAGAAATGGATTGATAAAGCCTTAACTAAACCTTTTAAAACTGATCCATAAGGGTTGGAGGCAGTATATTCAAAAGTAAGACTCCGAACATTCTTTGGAAGGTTTGAGATGAAGCGCGATATGGAGAAACCAATGCAATTATGAGCTTAGCTTGCACGCAAAATGTTTATGTAAAAGGTCCAAGGTCAGGTACAGATGGTGTGTGCCATCTCATTTTACACCAGGACAGAGACATGTCCACTATAAAGAGATGTGGGCCAAAGCTTCCAGAGAGCAGTGGAGCTGCTCTGCTCACTTCTACCTAACTCCCTCAGGGTCAGACGTTGGCTTCTGAGGCAGTGAGGACAATTCTTGGCAATAAATGTCCTGGGAAGACTGCTCCTGGGTCACATGGTGACAGTCACTCCTCACAGATCCTTTCTGTGGCTTTGCTTGTCTCCTGGGTAAGTTCTTTGGGAAGCAGCTTATAGAGCATTTGACAGGGTTGAGCTCATGTATGTGAACAGATGCCTCAGTATTACTGGGTTACAACCAAGGCTTGGTACCCCTTTCTTGGAAGTTGTTTGGAGTCACGACCCTAGTTTGGAAGCAAATGAGGAGTGTTTTCAAGAGGTTTATAATGTTCTCAAGTTGGAAAAAATTTGAATACAATAGAATAAGAAAACCAAGTCTACTCTCTCCCTCCCCCACCCCAACACCACCCCAACAAACCCTTCAGGTTTGAAGGTCTCTGCCCTAAGGGCTGTGAGGCTGCCAAGTTTCCTATTCCTATTACCTTTGTAGCAGCTACTAAGCCGCCAAGTGGTAGATTCCAGAGATGGCATGAGCAGTCTAGTGTTTGTTCAGGTATTTCTTAGAGCCACTGCATGACAGGTATTTGAAGAGGAGCGGGACAGGCCAACTAGGAAGAGGCTACGGAGAATGTAGGGAAATGTAGAAAAAGCCAGAGAGGAGCGGTGCTGGAAAGTAGAAACGGGCTGGCGAATTTTACTACCAGACAGTTCTGCCCCCTCTCAGGGCAGGCGGCTCCAGAGTGGTTATACTTTCTGCACCCGGCGACCTTTGAGTTCTGCCCAAATGTTTGCAGCATCCTTTTTATTTATGCTGAGGATGGAGCAGGTGCGTGCCCTGCTGAGCGAGCCGGGCCGGCAGAGGGCGCAGAGGTGTCTGCGCCAAATGGTGCCGGAGGGGCGCGGGGTGGAAATTAATTCACAGTGGAAAGATCTAGTCCTGAGAATTAAAGGATCAGAGCGGGCCTAAGCCGTTCACTGCAGGGGTGGGAGGCAGGAAAGACACCGGCGACGGAAAAGAAAAATGTTTATCCTGCCCACCCGCAGCCTCTCCTTCCGCCCGTCAACACTAAGCCTAAGAACCGTCGGTGATGAAACTGGGGACAGGAATCGTTGCCTGTCTCCTGCTCAGCTTACCTTGCGTGGGTCTTCCCTGTTAGGGGCAAAGAGGCGAAAGGCGGGGCACCCCGCAGGCCTCAATTTTAGGGGTCATCGGAGCTCGCCCCTCTCCTAGGTCGTCGGGTTTCTTGGAGGTCCTTCCCGGAAGCCCCAGGCAGGAGCCCGGGTGGAGAGTGCGTGGCGACCCACCTGCCCCTCCTGCAGCTGCTAGCACCTCCAAGCCCTGGTGTCCGGGAGAACGCGGCTTCCCGCCTCCTCTAGGAAGGCCTCCCTGCTTAGAACAGTGAAGTTTACCCCGGGCTTGGAGTGCACAGATTCGCCTGCAGCCCCAGGGCTTTTACCACGAGGGCAAGGGTGATTCCAGCACTTAGCATCGCCCTGCAAGCCTCCACCCTCCCCAGCCACGTTAATGCCTCACAGGGCGGAAGGGGGACTATATGACCAGGGAGATAGTTCTTGCTCCCCAGGCTGTTCGTGGGGATACGATTTCTACCACCCCAGCATGAGGCGGAGTGGGGTAACGGCCACTGGATCTGGTTGTCCAAGCCCTAGGACAGCTTTCCCCGCTCCACCCCCAACTCCCCCCCACCCCCGCTGCAGGTCACCAGCTTGCTGCGCCCTAGAGGACGGCGACCTCTCCACCCCCTCGAATGCCCCGCCCCCTGTCGCTGTCGGTCCCCACCACCCCCATTCGCGCGCACACTCATACTTGGGTTAGAGCCACCCTTGTCCGTTGCCTGGCTCCAGCACACGTTCACGGGTTGCCGCTCACTCTTGGCACCTGTGGGACGGTGTGTCCCCATACTATCGCCCTGACTATGTCGGGGCAGGGGAGGGCCAGCAATTCCCTGACTGGGACCCCTTGGACCAACTTGCTTCGGGTTTTGTTTCTAGGAGTGAGTACTCTCGGTGAGTCAAACCTGGAGGGTCTTGGGACGCGGGTGAGGTAAATCTGATCTAGGAAGGACTTTAGGCACTGGGTCTGATGGGACTTCTGTTTGTGACTCTTGCCCTCCCCCATCACCCTCCACTCCAGAGAGTCACTGGTTGGTGCTTATTTTTCTCCCTTCTATGGCTAGAACAACTCACAGCTTTGGTGTGGGAAGGGGCTCTTAGAGTGGGGAATAAAGGCATCTCCAGGCAAGGCCTCTGAATGAGTTAATTGAGCCGTTCTGTCGGGGTGTCCAACCCCCACTCAACACAGCTGGATGAGCCGGGGCTCTAGATGAGACAGTGACTAAAGAGCTTAAGGACTTAACTCCAGTTCCCTCCAACTCCATACTTAAGCCAATATGAAAGATCCCCGGGGAATGCCTGGTCCCCAGGCTTGACACAAGTTCTTGATGTCATGTCAGTTCTCCCACCAAGTTCCTCTTTTCTTGCATCCTTCTGTTTCCTGCCCTGGAAATCAAAGGAGCTGGTCACTTGGACACAGGAAATGAGAGGAGAGTTCAAATGCTGAGAGGAACAGATTTGTCACACAGCCTTCCTTCAGGTTTACCACCCTTATCTTTTCTCAGATCCAAGGGGACAAAGAAAATAGGGGCAGGATGGCATTGAGGAAGGGAACCTCTTGGAGCAAGTGCTCCTGGCCATGGGGAAAGTTCCCCAGGGTACCTAGCTTCAGGAGCTGAGGGTGGCTCAGTTGCTGCACTTGGGAGAAAGGACCCAATCAGAACTAATCTCTCTCTCTCTCTCTCTCTCTCTCTCTCTCTCTCTCTCTCTCCCTCCGCCTTTCAAAGATCTAGATCTCCATTTGCCATCATCTGCATTTTTGCATTTGCCAGGCCTGAGGATGCCAGGGCAAGCAAGACCTGGAACAATGTAGAATGAAATTGAGTTAGTTGATAGGGTTCTAGCTCCTGCGTATGGTCTCCTTTCAGCCTGGTTTGTGAGCCAGTGGTGTTGGGGGCATGAGGTCTTATGGTCCCCAGACAGTTGGGTTTTGTCTGTCTACTCAGCTCCCCACTGGTACCAAAGTTTGGAGAGCTTTCTGCCTCTCTGGACTTGGTGGATATTATCCTCAAATCCTGTAGCTTCTCTGGTCTGCTTTTACATCTTCAACCTCAACTTGTTTCTCTTAGGCATCATACCCCAATGCCCTTCCTGTTGTGTGTGTGTTGGGGGTGGGGTCCTCCAAGCACGGGAGGAAAATCCATGTTGGCTGCCATCATCATGGGGCATTCTTTTCTCTGTGCTGTAAGCTTCACTTTGTCCATACTGAAGACCCAGAGTGTTAAATTCCTACCAGTGCCACGAGGGTTGTGCGTTCTCCAGCCTTGGAGGGTTAAATGGGCTCCCTACCACTGCTCCTGGGGTAGGCACCAGGCAACAAGGCCTTCCTGCTTCAAGTACTGTTTCCCGGCTCAGTACTGCTGCCCCTGGAGCGTGAGAAGCCCACAAGGGGAGTTTCTCAGAGCAAGAAGGAAACTAAAAATAGTAGCCCTGGGGAGCGGGCCATTCGCTCTGACTAGGTCCTTTGCCTCCTTCTCTCTCCCTCTGGTCTCAGACTGGATCAGAAGGGTGCTATTCTTGGGCTGCTCCAGAAGAGTCCTTAACTGGACCCTAGCAACTTTCTCCTAGCTGCACCCAAGACCCAAAGGTCTGATCAGTTAGGGGTCTTTAGCTCCATCTTACACCCAGGGAGGAGGCGGGGGAAACCCCACGCCCTTTCGGGCTCCTAATTTCAGACGTTAGGTTCATGATGCTGGAGCAGTTATGTAGAACTTAGGTGTGTTCATTGCTATGTCTTTATCCCTGCCTCACTTTACAAAGTAAAATTATAAACGCGGGACCTGGAGGAGGCAGATGGGTGCCCACAGCGGAGGAAACTGGCTAGCCCCTCTGGGGGCTAGCCAGTTTCCCCCGGGAACCGTTCCTGTTTCAGCCCGAGTTTCAGATAAAGCGGGGAAGAGCGGCCACCGCCTGAAGGCTCCAGGTGCGCCGGGTAGGGCTGCAGGAACAACCTGCAGGCGGATCCCCAGGGGAAGTGGAGCTCCTTAAGGCGGGGTTGTTTTCGCAGGCAGGGCCTCCGGTCTAGCGGCCCCCCCTTCATTGTCTTCTGCCTTATCGCGGGGCACAAGTTTCCTGCCCTGTCCATGGGGATACGCCAGGAAATGGCCGGGTGGGGGGGTGCCACGAAGGACAAGGAATAGAGGTGGGGGCCTCGGCTAAGACGCGGCCGGGAAGCGGTGGGGGAGGCGTGCATCCTGGCCTGGTGGGCTCGGCCCTCGGAGGCCTTCAGCACGGATCCACGAGCGCGGGGAGCTGCGAGGGTCTGCGGCCTCTGAACTGGCCCAGCTTCCCCGACGTGGAGTCTGGTGCGCTCAGATGCTGAGGTCTCAGGACTAGGGCAGCCGGTGTCCTCCTGCTCCGCCAGACGCTAGCCCAAAGTTATTTTCCAAACGGTTTATTTAGCACGCCATGCCCCTTTGCCTCTGATAAGGGCAAAAAGCAAGTGTTTTGGACGCTGTGGTCTATACAAGCAACGCTTCCCCCGCTTCCCCAGTTGAAGCTGATGCCCCAGTCCACCTGAGCTAGGGATGCACACCGCGAGAGCTATGCTTGGAAGACTGTCCTCAGTCTTCTTGCCTGTAATAGTCCCTGCGTCCCATAGAGCTCGCCTAGATTGCCTGAGAACCAAAAGTGTTCTTGGGGATTTTCCTGCGTCTCAGTCTATTCCGGGGGAAGCTGGCTTGTGGAGACTGAGCGGAGCCTGGGATACCCTCAGTCATCGCCAGGCTCCGATGCCCAGCTGCGCAGTTCTCACCTACTACCCACGGTTCAGAAGGAGCCGCGGAGTTAAAGAGTAACTGTGAGGCCTCCCAACCCCCCTCTGCCCATCCAATTGAGAACTCGGGAATGCGGAGTCCTGCTGACCTCCTCCAGCGTGGTTCTCCCTTGCCTTTCACTAGGGAGACTGAAAGAGCAAGTGTGTAACGTGGGGTGCCAATCAAAAGTAGCTGGTCTGCCCTCCCTCCTGGTATCTTTCCTTCCTCGATGTGAATTTATTCGAATGAATAAATATAAATGTGGTTCTATCACTAAACCGCCCGGCTCCGATTGAGGGGAAGCAGGACACTGTGACAGAGGTCTCTGGACACTCCTAGAAGCTTTGTTCTTCCGGTTCCTGTGATCTTTTCCCTTGGGCAGTGGTGGGTAGGGTCCTTGGGCTGAGCAGGGAGCCAGCTCTGGAAGCTCACACCTCCTTGCTCTGTTTTCAGCATCCTTCTCCCTGGCCCAGCTGGAGCTGCATGTGCCCACCGGCCTCACCACGTTGGAGGTGGTAGAGGGAGGGGAAGTGGTACTACCAGCCTGGTACACCATGACAGGGGAGGTGCCTTCCTCCAACCCCTGGGAGGTACCCGTCTTGATTTGGTTCTTGGAACAAGAAGGAAAGGAACTAAATCAGGTGAGGGGAAAATCTTCCCAGCCAAAGACAAGCAGTGCCCCGCTGGGGATGTAGGGAAGCGGAGAATGGGGGTGGAGGAAAGAGTTCCCAGAAGAGCAAGTGGCCTCACAGGGTTAGTGTTGGTTCTCACCGTGAAAGCGTCCCCAAAGACTTCTCTTTCCCTCAGTTTTCCATAGAAATCCAGCACACAAAACATGGTCAAAGCAGAGAGGCAGGTGTGGGTGGGGCTGCCGCTGGGATTCACGACTGACTGAGGAAAGACACAGGTTAAGTAACAACTTTTGAAAGCTGTGCATGCTTGTGTGTTGACATTCTCTGTGCTTCAGATACTGTCAAGTAAAGGCCACATCTCTTCCTGGATCCACCCGCTCCTCAAACCCCCTTTTTTCAAAATTTATTGTTATTATTGCCACATATATGTATGGGCTTGTATGTGCCATGGTGGGAGTGTGGAGGTCAGAGGACAACTGGCTCTTTCTTCCCATCTTTACATAGATTTCAGGGATTAAACTCAAGGTGTCAGGCTTGGAGGCTAGTATTTGGTGAACCTTCTCATCAGCCCCAGCCTTAGCCCTAGCTCTAGCCCCCACCCCCTTAATCCCTTTATAACTGGAGAGGCAGTATGGTCTCCATCACTTAACACATCCTCTATTACACAAGATTTGTACCCAGTGGCTCTTTTATCCAGAAGCTAATGAAATCATTTTCAGATTCCTTCACTTGCATGAACTCCTTGCAATGTTCTGGAAAATGTTTTCAAAGAAGTCATTTGATCTTGTTATCTTGTTTTGTTTTGTTTTGTTTTGTTTGAGAGAGTTTCATACAGTCTAGGCTGGTCTCAAACTTCTGATTCTCTTGCCTCTGCCTCCCAGGTGCCGGAATTAGGCAGTGTTGGGTATGGAACCTAGGGCTTCTTCCTGCATGTGCTAGGGTTAGGCAAGCACTCTACCAACATAGTTTCATCCTCAGTTCCCCACTTTTAATTTTTGTGTATGTATGTGCATGTTTGCATATATGTGTACGAGTGTTCATGTTAATGTGTGCACATTTTCATGTGCACATGCATGCATATGCATGTCGAGGCCAGAGGTCAACCTTGGGTGTCATTCCTCAGGTACCATCCCCTTCCCTAGCCCTAGAGCTCACCCATTGGGCTATGCAAACCAGCCAATAAGCCCCAGGGACCTCCTGTCCCTGCCTCCCCAGCTCTGGAATTATAAGCATTCCACTATGCGGGGCTTTCCCCCCCCCCCCCCA